CTAAGCCCAAGAGCTGGAGGTTGCTGTGAGATGTGATGCCACAGCACTCTAATGAGGGAGACAAAGTGAGACTCTGTCTCTAAAAAAAAAAAAAAATACTCCGGCTTTGTGGCAAGCATCTGTAGTCCCAAGCTACTAGGGAGGCTGAGGCAAAAGAATCACTTAAGCCCAAGAGTTGGAGGTTGCTGTGAACTGTGACACCACGGCACTCTACCCAAGGTGACAGTGAGACTCTGTCTCAAAATAAATAAATAAAATAGCCAGGTGTTGTGGCAGACACCTGTAGTCCCAGCTACTTGGGAGACTGAGACAAGAGAATCACTTAAGTGCAGGAGTTTGAGGTTGCTGTGAGCTGAGCCACAGCACCCTACCGAGGGTGACAAAATGAGACTCTGTCTCAAACAAACAAAAAAAAAATTAGGGCTCTGTGCCCGTAGCACAGTGGTTATGGCACTAGCCATATATACCAAGGGTGGTGGGTTTGAACCCAGCCCAAACCAGCTATACAACAATGACAACTGCAACAAAAAATAGCTGGGCATTATAGCGGGTGCCAATAATCCCAGCTACTTGGGAGTCTGAGGCAAGAGAATCGCTTAAGCCCAAGAGTTTGAGGTTGCTATGAGCTATGATGCCACAGCACTCTACCAAGGGTGACATAGTAAGACTAGGGAGAGGGGAGGGTGGGTGGAGGGAAGGTGATTGGTGGGATCGTGCCTATGGTTCATCCTACAAGGGTACGTGTGAATCTCTCTAAATGTAGAATATAAATGTCTTAACACAATAACTAAGAAAAAGACATGAAGGCTATGTTAACCAGTTAGATGAAAGTATTTCAAATTGTATATAAAAACAGTATACTGTACCCCATGATAATATTAATGTACACTGCTATGATTTAATAAAAAAAAATTGGAGACTTTACATCCTTTGTATTAACCTGGATGGAAGTGGAACACATTATTCTTAGTTAAAGCATCTCAAGAATGGAAAAAAAAAAATTAGCCTGGCATTATGGTGGGCATCTATAATACTAGCTTCTTGGTAGACTGAGGCAAAAGGATCTCTTGAGCCCAAGAGTTTGAGGTTGCTGTGAACTATTCAGCCTTGATGGTCTACCCAGTGTGACAGAGTAAGACTGTCTCAAAAAAAAAAAAAAAGAAAGAAAGAAAAGAAGGGCCTACCTGGTTTGGCCTTAGTTCTGCAATGTCTCCAACTACTATACTCTCCATCAGCTTCACCCGGTCACTACCGAGTATCTTGGTCTAGGGAAGAGATCGAAAGCCTCAGGCCACTATAGCAGGGATAATCCGAAAGGCCACAAGCAAAAGCATCCTCCCTGCCATCCACAGTGCAATCCAGCCTAGCCAAAGTGACTGACCAGTCTTTTGATTCTACAGGCCAGATAGGCCCACCTTCTGATTCCCCACATACCCTAGCACTGGGTGTGACTGGGAGAGGTCAGGGTACTCAAGAAGACTTACTAACCTCCAGAAATACCCCTTTTTCCAATACCTAACACAGTGGATGACAGTGGGTGTCAGACCTGTAAAATCTGGGCCGTTAAGCCACTTGGAGCAGGATAGAAAGACTAAGGAGATGATCAGACAACAGTCTTAATGAATTATTTCCTTGGAGCCATAGTCTACAACATCACCTAGGCCTCTAGCTCTTCTGGGGGGAGGCTGTCCACAGAATCCATATCCCAGCAAAAAAAGCCAAGGAGGCTCGGCGCCTGTGGCTCAAGTGGCTAAGGCGCCAGCCATGTACACCCAAGGTGGTGGGTTCGAATCCAGCCTGGGCCCACCAAACAACGACGGCTGCAACCAAAAAAAATAGCCAGGCGTTGTGGTGGGCGCCTGTAGTCCCAGCTACTTGGGAGGCTAAGGCAGGAGACTCGCCTGAGCCCAGGAGTTGGAGGTGGTTGTGAGCTGTGATGTCACAGCACTCTACCCAGGGGGGACAGCTTGAGGCTCTGTCTCAAAAAAAAAAAAAAAAAGCCAAGGAGTGTACCACTGTGACCAGGGCATAAGACCTAATCTGGCAGCCAGCATGTTCCTCTAGCTTACCTGCAGCATGTGAGACACGTCAAAGAGCGAGCAGTGCTGGCGTGTGTGTAGGTGCGAGTCAACATGACTGTCTCGGTACTGCACTGGCAGACTCCAACCCGCAAACGCCACCATTTTCCCGCCATGGGCCAGGTGGAAGTCATAGAGTGGTGTCCGGCGGAGCTTGTCCTGCAAGCATCAAGGCTTAGTGCCACCAGGGCCCTGTCCCCAGCCACCTCCCTCCTCCACCCTCCAAAATCAGCACCAAACCCCAGCACCCTCTGTCCTACCTGTGCACAACTGAGCTGACGACCCAGGACTGAGGGAAGTGCATGAGAGCAAACGCCCAGACGGGCCACCATGCTCACTGCCAGCTGCATCATCACGAGCAACCAGTGCAGACGGCGCACAGAGGCCGCCACTCTGCCAGGAACGCCGGGAGATGTAGTCCAGGCCTCTGCTTAGAAAGGTCTCTCTCCAGTGCAGAGGATCAGAAAAGGGGGCGGGTAGCCCCCAGGGCAGGCTGGGATTTAGAGCGGCAAGTGCAGGACTCCAGACTGCGAGAAACAGCCTCAGGCCCTTTCTGTTGGCTTTCAGTGTGGGTCAGGCGGAACCAGAGCTGAGGGCTATACCTCCCTCTCTAGAACCGCCCTGCCTCCCAAGGGTCAAAGTTCTGGGAAAGGCTAAAAGACCTGATCACATATTCATTCAGGACCTCAGGAATGTTAAGGTCAAATGGGGGCTGGGGAAAATGGAAAAGTCACAGGAGGGTGAAGCCAGGCTGGGAGGCAGGCTGCACCATAGAAAGCAGCACAATAGCCTTACTTCTCATGGGGGTCCCCAGCCTTCCCACCAGACAGACACAGGCAGCCAACACAGTCATGCATTCCACAAGTTATTTATTCTTTTTTTTTTTTTTTTTGCAGTTTTTGGCCAGGGCTGGGTTTGAAACCGCCACATCCAGCATATGGGACCGGTGCCCTACTCCTTTGAGCCATAGGCACCACCCCCCACAAGTTATTTATTGATCTTGCTGTATACTAACCCCTGTGCTGGGGACACAGCCATGAATGAAGCATAGTCCCTGCCACTCCAAGTCCTCTTCACTCACAACACACTGAGGAGCCTTGCTCCCTGAACACAGGACTACAGTCATCATCCTTTCTGAAGATGCTAAGTGGAGCTAAGTAAGTGACCTTGCAGGTAAAGATACCACCTTCAAGAACTGATGGGTGAGAGCGGAGGATAGCCACCAAAAAGTGGCTGAATTTCCTCCAAAAAACTGCTGAGCCACACACATGTCCAGTTTTCCAGGTCTGAAACACATTGCAGTACTGCTTCATAATAGTCCCTGGGGAAAATGCCAGGAAGAACGAGAAGGAAGTAGGATTTTCTCATTAAGAACAGCCTGCTTCATTCAAGTTGGCTTGTGATAATGGAAGACCTCAGCCTTTTAAAAGGCACCAAGGAGAATCATCACTTAGACTTACTCCCACCAAAGTCGATCTCTTTCATGCTGATTATGACTCTTGGGAAGGGGCAACTGAGAGAAGGGACAGGGACATGCTTTGGGCTCTGTCACTTGGAGACAGAGTGACCTCGGCAGACAGGTTCCCAGTCTCATTCTCAAACTCCCACATTTCCAGAGGCATTCGCTCAAGCCCAATAGGCAGACTCATTTTAACATATATCAAGGAGCCAGAATAGGGACCAAGGGACTCAAGCTACCCAAATCTTCAGTTTTGTTTCCTAGGCAGGCAGCAGAGAGTTTAGACAGGAAATTTCTTTATGTGGGCATAAAACAAAGGGGGCACAAAGGAAGCAATGGGGTTTCTGTTTCTTCCTCAACCTTCCTAATCTATTAGAATCCCACAACAGCAATGGTCTTCTAGGTAGATGGAGCAGGTTTTAAGAGGTCATCTCACCCTAAGCATTCATGGTGAGGAAGCAGGCAGAAGACAGGAGTATGAATGCTGGCAGGAAGGGCAAAGGTCCCTGAGGATTCTTAGCAAGTAAAACTGGAGTGTTGTCAGGGTAGGAGAAGGAAGAACTGGGTTGCAGCCAGGTGACAGAGACCATCCCTGCCAGGAGTTCATGCTGAAGCAACATAGTATGCCCCCAAGAATCTTCAATCTATAAACATGGCCCAGACAACACAGGCATATAGGCAATACTCAGAATGCTCAGGAAACACACTTCAGCCTCTGGTGGCCACAGAAAGGCCATTGTCTTGGGTAGCAGCAACCATTCAAGTGTAGGAGAGCAAATTCAGGTCGTAACAGCCATCCACCTGCAACACAAGAGACCATTATTAGGTTTGACCCACTCAGGGCAACATAACCCAAGCAGAGGGAAGCAATCACTCACATCAAAGCGGCCGATCCTTGCAGAGGTGTGACTGGCTCGGATCATCTCTGTCAGCGCCCACATCTGCTGCACCTCGGAGGATACCCTGCTGGGGTCTGGGAGACCCTGCTCCAGAAGGAGGAGTCAGTGGCCATGGGTCTATCCCCAGCAGCGCACTTGGGGCTCCAGTGAGGCCAAGCTGGGCTAAGGGCCCTCCAGTTGAGACCATAACATTCCAAGATGACTTGTGAACGTGAGTTGGGGCCTGATGTTCAGTAGGCAACCCAGCCCCACACTACAGATGCCTTAAAAGCCATAAAGCATACAAGAGGAAAATGGCACACAGTAAACCGAGGTCCAGCCCCAAATTCTTACAGAAAAGGAGCCACCTGGGCCTGTGCTGGCACCAGAACAATTCACATGTGGTTTTTATCCAAGGAAAGGGCTTACCTCTAGTAGGGGTACAGGTTGTTCACAGGGGACTGGGTGGGAGAGCCACTTGGGGAAGGTCATGGAGGGGCTCTGCAAAACAAAGACAAACTGCCCTGAGTGAGGCAAAGTGAGAGAGCTTTAGGGACCAGATACAAGGTCTTGGGAGTAGAGAGAAGGACCTGACACTGGGAAAATCCTGTTCAGGTAGCCTACAGAAGCCTAGGAAGACAGTCAGACTACCTAAGCTCTGTTATACAGAAGGAGGTCTCAAGAACACAAGCAGCAGAAGTGTCTCCTGGTACCTAAAAGGTCCAGCTCTGAAAGAGGCAAGTAGCTCCAAAGGTCAGGGGTTATAGGGACATGGTCTCATCTCTCATCACAAGCTTTCAGCATTCACATTCAACTAACCTCTTACCATCCTGAGTTTGTAACATCCTTCGCCATCACCCACCCCACCAACCCAGCTCTCGCAGCCATAGTGGGAAGCCTCCTAGGAAAAGGGCCTACCAAAAACTCTCACATAGTCACTTACCTTTGGTCCCTGCTGATAAATCTGCAGCTCCTCCACTGTGAAAGATAGCCACAGTGGTGATGGCTGCCGAAGAATCAGGCGTAGCTCCAATACTTTGGCCATGTCACACAGCATCTGATATACACACACATATAAGGACCCAGCAAAGACTCAGCTCACTGCCCAGGAGCCTCCCAACTAGCAATGAGCCAAAATTCTGCCTCCCCAGGCCTTCAGGAAAGAAAGAACAGTAGTCTCTCTGAGGAATTTGCCTGAAAGCCACAGGCCAGACCAGCCTTGCCCCTTCTTCCCTCCTGGTCCACTGACCCAATTCCCAGGGCTCCTATAAGTCCTAAAGTGGGTTGCCCTGGCCATGCTGAGGCCCAGCTGACCTGGTGCTTGAACAGAGACACATACTCCTGGGCTCCCTCCTCACTGTGGGGGTCCGGCATCAGACAATAGTTTCTCAGGCAGGTCACCCACTTGGCTGGTGTGTGCATCGAGGTATGCTGACGGACACGGATGCTCAAAAAGGCTGTGTAGTAATTCTTAAACATGATCTCCTGCAACTAAAGCACACGTAACCCATCATGACAAATAAGACCCAGACCCAAGGCCTAAAAAGCTCAAGGCACCATCTCTTCCTACCTTTGGAATTGACTCTTTTAATAAACTAACAATTTCAACAAGCATCACTGACACGCAAAGACAATTTTGCTTTCATAGAGGGTCTCACAGTCTAAATGAGCAGGCCATGCAAACAAACCACCACCACCACCAATCTTGCCATATGTCCAAGATGTTATTAGTGGCTTGGTGCCTGTAGCTCAGTAGGTAGGGCACCGGCCACATACAGAGCAGCTGCTGGGTTTAAAGCTGGCCTGGGCCTGCCAAACAATAACAACTACAATGGCTCGGCACCTGTGGCTCAAATGGCTAAGGCGCCAGCCACATACATACACCTAAGGTGGCAGGTTCGAATCCAGCCCAGACCCGCCAAACAACAATGATGGCTGCAACCAAAAAAAAACAGCCGGGCGTCGTCGTGGCGGGCGCCTGTAGTCCCAGCAACTTGGGAGGCTGAGGCAAGAGAATCACTTAAGCCCAAGAGTTTCAGGTTGCTGTGAGCTGTGACACCATGGCATTCTACCAAGGGTGACATAGTGAGACTGAGTCTCGAAAGAAAAAAAAAGGTATGTTATTAGAGATTAGAGCCCCAACCCTGCAGAAAGCAAAATATATATATAAGGCCTAAATAAGGAAGAGTTTTCCTTCTTTTTTCTTTGAGTCAGAGTCTCAAGCTGTC